GGTTAAGAATTATAGAAACAAGATACTGTGTTTTACTGTGTTTTGAATTAATGTGACTAACAATCTGTTGAGGTAGCAATTTTTTTTAAATAGAATTAACAAAACCTTAAAACAAGAGTTATTTATTTGATGGAATTGCCGTCTTATTCCTATCAAGGTCTTTCTTAAACAGGAAGCCATCAGCTCTGTTCATTTCACACAGTATTAATGAAGAAATGTCTCCATACTATACTCTTTAAAGACACAAATTATATCATTTAGTTTGAAATATTGGGGTTGGAGAGATATTTTGACTTTTCATTCTGTTTAACTTTGGAGCATCCACTCTGTACCTCAATACCGCTAACACTACAGAATACTGACCTGTAGCATCTCATCTCCATCTACTTGTCTGCTATTCACAAGCTCCTTGCCATCAGAAACACGTTTGAATTTGCCAACATAGTGTGTGGGGGATTCAAATGTGTAGGTTCCCTGTTAAAAAGCACATGAAGGGTTAGTCAAAGTGAACCCATTGGGAACCACTTTGCTGCAAAAGGTAACTGACCTTATGATTCTAAGAACATTGATTTATCTTAGTTTTCTGATGAAGTTATATCCTAGAATGCTTGTGTAGACAACATTTAAAGATACTAAGATAACAGGTCTTATTGCCTATACAAATACTGTACTTTCTCCACAGTTAACCAAGGACTGTACCTTCATTACAGAGCCATCAGCAGGATCCCCCATAAACTCTTCTCCCATTGTCCAGCTGATCTCTTTTGTCCGAAAAACACTCTTTTCTGTTATGGTGAATTTGTCTCCTTCTTGTTTCACAGTTAGTTGCTGTTTCAGATTGTCCAAATCACCAAGTTTTGAGACATCGATTCCTTTTTAGGAAAAAGGAGATATCTGATACGTTAGCTAGCTGTGATTTGTCTTCTTTTAAAGAGTTTGTTTTCTTTTTTCTTTAACTTTGTTTTGTTTAAATATATAAGGTTCAAATACTTTATTTTTCCTTGTACTGTAACTCCTCCTCCCAGTTTGTTTTATTTGGGTAATTCTGAGATTTCAGAGAGAAAATCCCACTACAAGAAGAAAAGATTGAGCTTTTCAAAAATCAAAGTATATTACATTGACTTTGGTGACCTTTATGCAACTTTCTAATGAATTGGAGAAAGACTGAATAAATTTTGATCAGACACTTTTATCATTTATTTTCCTCATTAAAGACAAACTAATAAAGTATGAATTGAGTTTTATCTAAGTGTAGAATAGTTCACATTATGTAGTTAACCAGGTAAATCAATTGAGAAAGAAATTCTCATTAACAGTGATTATCTGGAGATCCATTTATATAGAAAGGTCTATGGTGGGGGGTGGCACAGTAGGTCTATGGTTAATATTGCTGCCTCACAGTGCTGTGGCCCTGGGCTCAATTCCATATCTGGGGTGCTATCTGTGTGGAGGTTGTATGTTCTCCATATGTTCATGTGGGTTTTCTCCAGCTGTTTCATTTGCCTTCCAGAGTCCAAAGACTCTGGAAGGTGAATTGGTTTCTGGGAAAATTGGCTCTGGTGTGAGTATTTACTGTATGTCTGTGTGTCTTCCCTGCAATGGACTATTGTCTTGTCCAGGGCGTATCCTGCCTTGCGCCTGTTGCTTGCTGGGATAGACTCCAGCTCCCCTGCGACCCTGGATAGTGCAGTTAGAGCATGAATGGATGGATATCTCAGCGATGGCTTCACACATACCGTTGTTTTTAACAGATAACAGATTTTAATAGGTACCTTTAACAAATAACAAATGGTGTGAAATCAGTGAAGGATACAGTTTACTTTTAAGAGCATATCAAAATACAATGTAAACATGCTTTTGAGACGGTATAGTGGAGCAATCTATTTAAAAAATTTTGCTTAGAGCACAGCACCGGAGTCCCACCTGTAATGTAAGCCCACAGGCCCCAGAAATGGAGTCCAGTACCTCAACTCCTAATCCAAACACCACTGCCCACATCACAGACCCCAAACTGAATTTAGTTAGTAAATACAGTAAGCAATTACAGAATGGTAAACTGTAATGTTTTGAGAAAAATTAAAAATGGGATACCACTAATTATAGCTAGGTCAAAACAGTTAAGGAGGTCCAATTCTGCATTGGCTTATCTCCAGCTTTGCTGTGTCATGGCTTCAGGCTTCAGGATTCTGGGTGCTATTCCAGTTCAGTGCTGTGTGTGGAGTTTCCTCCCATTTCCCGGAGATTTTACTGAGTGTTCTGAATTGTCTCTTTGTCTATGGTCCTGTGAACTGGTGTTCTCACCCAGGAAGAGCAATAATGTGCTCAGTTCAACAAAGTGCTTCTGGGATAGGATCTAACTTCCCACAATACTCCCCATGATGACATTATTCTGATAAGGGGTAGATAATCGAATTTGTACTGTTGTATATTGTATTTATGATATATTGTACAAATACATTTTTATTTTGTTCCTTATTCTAGTTATGACATTGTTCTGTGTACCTGTTGTTTTATGTGCTCTGAAGTTGCTGTAAAATGTTGTATCCTATAAGGATAGTTGTTCTGCTTTGTAGATAGGTTTAAGGAATAATTCTATGATATACTGTACTAACTTTGCATCTTGGCTTTATAGTAAAACTTAAAGAAAAAGAGGAATACTCCTACTCCCAGGCTATAAATGTAATTTTAATCCAATGTTCTTTGATGATAAAAGTTAACTTCTCACCTAAGGCCACCAAAAATTCTTTCAGGTTCTCATTTTTGTATTCCACCCAACAGCCATTAAAAGCCATCTTCAATCCTGTCAATGACAAAACATATTCAGCTGTTCAGACAGTTCTTATTTTGTGGCTTTAAAGATTGTACTGATACAGAGTGAAAAACCTCACCTGCCTTCAAATAAAATTGATAAGCACAAAAATTGAAATTGAAAGTGAAGTTGATAAAAGTAATTTATATTATTTAAACCATGCTATAAGATCAAAAATATTTTAGCAGAGGAAGAATTAATGCATAATTACAGTACACACTAAAAGCTATTTTAAACATAGCAAAGTGGACATGCTTGAAGTACAACTAAATGTCCCATTAATTGTCATTATTTATGAAAGAATATGAAATATCTTTAGAAAGTGATATGAGATGCAAATCTTAGAGGACATAAATCCTGCAGGATTTTACTGTATTGCTGTATGCAGGCATTTTAAAGTGCCTGGTTCACGGAGATCACATGATATAGATGCTTTAATAGCAGTCAAGTAATGAGATAGAAGGTTCTTAAGTGATTCATTAAGATAAAGCTTGTGTCCAGATTGGACACTTTGTTGTCTGGAGAAAGGATTATTTTGGTTACTAGTAAGAACATGATAACAAATCCGATTTCACACAGATTTTGTTGCAAAACTTTTAACCTCAATATGGCTTTTTGCATCCAAAATTCACTTTGCTCCTATCATCGTCTTAGATGGAATGAAAAGGATATTGGACAGTCTCAGAGAAATCTTTAAGTTAGACACCCTAAGCAAATCATGGCCTTCTTATGCAGTCACTGATGAAACAAGATGAAAATCAACCTACTAAATCATCCATCTATCATTTCTGAAGAATGCTTTAAACAAATCAAGTTCAGGCAGGCTTGTCTTTTTATACAGTATCTTTTCTTCCAAGAATGCCTACTGTATGTTACATAATACAAAAACTGTATGTATTGCATTTTCATTAGCTTTAAGGGAGTACTTAGTTTCACTTCTTCAAAGAAGAACATAATTGCTGCCTTCTTAGTATTTCACCAGCATGCCAAAGCTTCACACTCCTGTCTTTGCATTCTGAAAAACTGATGTAAAAGGACTTTGGTTCTCATTTTTTCTGTAGCCAAACTCTATTCTGAAAAAAATAAATTAGTTTACACCTGTAAGCACAAGTTCATTACCAATTAATTCAACATTCATTAAATTAGTCATTGTAAGTCTGTCACAACCAAAGAAAGCTCCACAGCCAAAATGTTGGTTCTTTTCTTCTCTTTTCAGCCTGGATTAAACCTTTACTTGTTCCTATATCATATAAATACAATCCCAAGATATAAAAACTACAGAAAATACACAAAATTCCTGTACATGATAGTACTTGATAATCTTCTGTTTGCATACACAATGTCAGTATAATTACTTTATCTTACACCAGTAATTCACATCATAGATCCTACTTAACAAAAAGATATCCATTGTGAGGTTTTATGTTCTTAAAATCTCAAGTGATTCTTAGTGTATCACTCAACAGGATTAAAATGTTTAAAAATAATTTCATATTGCTCAACATCTAATGACTTATCATCTTCTCTAAGACAAAAAACGCTAGCAGATAATAATAATAATTTCCTTTTACTTACAACACACATTAAAATTAGTGATATTTTGTTAATGACGATATGAAAACACAGAATTTGTGGAATACTGATATACTCTATAGAGCTTACTGTACCTGTCTTGCCTGTTCTGTGTGGTGTGCTGCAGACCTGGAAAATGACTTCATCCAGTATGCTGAGCGATGTCCCTCAGCCAGTACTTTAAAGGATGTGGGTGTTGGCACTGTGCGGAAGTGACTTGTTCAGACTTGAAGTCAATTACACAATCCCATTTTTGGGGGATAAAGTGGCATTTAAGGAACTGTTTGCGTCACACATTCAAAACGAGGAATTAATGCTGATGAAATGCCACCCACCCATAAAACAGCAAATCCCCACCCTTTAAAGCACCTGTCAAAGCACCCGCCAGTCTAAGAGAAGAGGAGGGAAATGGTGATATGCAAGTCAAGCTGAAGCAAATTTTTAAACAAACTAGCGCAAAATTGCATAGAATGAAGAATATCCTTATTTCCCTTGCAAAAGAGTTAAACTAGCTCAAAAATAGCTAAAACCCTGTTTTGTTCCCACTTAAGCACAGTCAAAATGCTGAGAACTGTACCAAGCTTATTGCAGAGAGGAAGGTTTTCTGGGGTGAGATATTCTTAATTTTATGGAGCTTTAAAAGTGCACCAATTCACAAGGTTAGGAAGATGAAATAGTTTTGTAGCTGGTGCACTGACGTTTCACTGAGCAGACATGATATAGGTAAATTCATTGTCATGATTAACATTTGTCACCAATAGGGTGCCTACTGTGAAATTTACGATGCAGCTACAATGCACTGCTCACCAGGATGACAGGGCAGGCGAGGGGGTGTTAATGACCCAAGAGAAAGGACCTCACAGTCCAGGAGGAATTGGCTCCACCTCTGCTTCACGGGAAAGGAAATAGGATGAAGAGTCACAGACGGGGCAGGGCTGGTTGGGCTGTACAGGGCACATGTCATCGGGACAGTCCATGAGGTGAGTGCTCTCGAGGGGAGTCTCTTTTAGAGTCCTGGGCAAGCACGCGCTGTCAGACAGACCGGAGAGACGCACCAGGGACCAGGCCATGCAGTGTGCCGACTGAGGTTCGGGTCCGGTGCAGAGTCCCAGGGACAGGTCAAGACAAAGGGCAGGCAGGCAGGTGCAGAGTGCAGCCTGGACACAGGATAGGAGTGCAAGCAGGGATAGAGATCATCGGGGTGGTCATCCAGAGGCGTGCCAGGCACAAGGCTGTGAGTTACATAGGGTGCAACATGGACTGGGCCAAGCAATACGCCCACTGGAGGCTGGGAGGCCCTATTAAGGAGAAGTGGAAGCACCATGGTTTGGAGCTGTGCTTTAACCAGGGTGCAGGGCAGAGCTGATCTGTCTGCGTCAAGAACAAAACAGGACAGGGTGTCATCGCTGGGGTGATCAACTGAAACATGCACTCCTCGGGGGGGGTCTGAGACCACGCCAAGCACGCTCTGACAGGGTGGACTGCAGAAGGCACCCTGGACTGGGTCGAATGGGTAGTGTGCCACCTAAAGAGCGGAGAAGCACAGAGTCCCCAGCTGCACTGCCACACTAGCAGGCTGGACTGATCCTGGGAAGCACAGCTACAGACGCAAGTGTCCAGGCATATTGGGGAAGCAGGAACAGGAAGGACTCTGCCAGGAAACAACTGGTGGCGGATAAGGAGTGGAGTAATGCCGGATCTTGAAGGAGAAACTCAACAGAGTTTAAATATCCTGGAGCACCTGCTGCTGTGTGACTTCTCACTAAAGCCAGGTGCTCTGCATATCCTGTTTCCTCAGCAATCGGTGCAGGGCAGAGGCGTGGCCCCTGGTCACTGCAGCTGCACACGGCAGAATCCTTCTCAGTAGGGCGGAGAGTGACACAAGTAGGGTGTGTGAACATTGTGGGTAGAAATGCAAGCTGTACATCTGCGACACATGCTTTGCACCAGGTTAGAGATGTTAACATGTAGGATTCCTCACCTAGAACCTGGGGAAACATGTGCCAGAAGACTAGTCTCTGAGAGCACATGTGGTGCCTGCTCACCCCTTGAGTCACCACTGACTCAACGAGGGTACAGTCAAACATAGAGGCCACCCACAGCATGGCTGACAGATTAGTATCTCACACGAAGGCTGTTATTACATGAGCAGCATAAGGATGTGCATTGCCCAGCTGGACTTTCATCATGTCAGGTCCGCAGGGAGGACAGCAATGTCCCAGGACTTGAACGAACGATGTGGCGCCATGCCGTCGGATAGCCATCGATCACAACAAGTGGAGCTCTGTTGTGATTCATGGTCCTCTCCATCAATCACGCCAAAGAGCTGTAACTCCCAGTCTCCTGTTTCAAATATTAGCATTGGAAAACTGTTCAGCAGTAACACCTTGCCAGGCTAGAAATTACTGGCTGTAAACACCTAAGATGGAGAGCAATGGACTTACTCTATCCTCCAACATGCCAAAAGCAAGAAGGCCTTCTTCTTGGTATTGGCATGTCTGTGGCTGGCTAAGCAGTATATTGATCCTTTTTTTCTTCTTGATTTTCACATTCAATAGGGTTGAATGACTTCATTACTTGTGCCCAATCAACTTGCTCTATAATGAGGTGATTTAAGCTTGCACAACAAAATCTCTTAAGTGTTTCACAACACTTCGAAATTATGCCACAACATTATTCACAATTCAAAATTCATATACTTTATTTATTCATTTCTGTTTTCAGTAATATAAAATGCTAAATATCTTTAGATGCTCAGTATATGTATTTGGCCTGGTCATACAGAAGGAGGTATATCGAGGAATGCATTCTCAGTGTACAGGTTCCACACTCTTTCCTGCTGCACTATGGGGTCTTAACCAGTATAAGTGTCAGAGTTAGCTGTGGTCTGAGAAAGTGAAAAAAACAAGCCTACCCTATGCAATCTTAAATATTACATAACTCCAGTCCTTTAAGAAATAATACTTCTTTCTTCAACTCCCACAACAGCAATATTGAAAATACTCCAGTCAAACTGCTGACATGATGCCAAACATGTCTGCACTGTTTGCCTGCCTGTGCACTGCACAAGTCCATTTTTCAAAGCCAGTTTTCTTTAGATGCGCAGAATGCAAAGCTTTCTTTTGACCTACAAATTCAAAACCAATTCGTCACTGCCTGCCCAGACATACAAACCAACAGCATGACTGTAAGCTTTTCAAATGGGATTTTGCTTGAAAATTAAATTTTCTTTTATATGCAGGAAGGAATTAAACTTTGATAATAGATTTTAAAAAATATCCATATTTTGCAGACACCAATAACTGGAGTATTTCTATATAGAAATAATTTACTTTTTGTACCTCTGTACCAATTGCCACATTAGTACCAGTTTTGCACATTTCATGCTTTTTGTGTTTTATGAATTAGAAAAAAAAGCAAATAATAAAAAATTATTCAACTACCTCAGGCATTTATGCAAGTTTTCTGATAAAACTAGTTTGCCAATGTCTTTACATAGAGTACATATCTAACAGTATTCAAATAGATCAAATCCTCCAACAAGCAGCCTAAAACATACAAAAACTTGCTTTCTGTAAAATAATAGTTTTAATTGTTTTCATAATAGCATTGTTTCCCAATTATGTGAATTCTCACATTAAAAAAAAGTTATGAATGCAGCAATAGGCACAATATTACCAGCTAATGAACAGGGTATGTATAATCAGCTTTGCAAGATACTGTACATGTAGCGTGGGCTCTTATTGATTTTGTATGTATAGTAACTGAGTTGTTTCATTTTCATGGGAAAAACTAAGGTTGCTGCTGGAAAAGGTGTTAGTGGGGTCAGCAGGGGGTGCTCAACCTGGAGTCCACATGGGTCCTAATGCCCCAGTATAGTGACGGGGACACTATACTGTAAACAGGCGCAATCCTTTGGATGAGTCCTGACTCTCTGTGGTCATTAAAAATCCCAGGGCATTTCTCGAAAAGAGTAGGGGTGTAACGGTACCCAGCGTCCTTATTCGGCGTCCTGGCTGAATTTCCCATTGGCCCTTACCAATCATGGCCTCCTAATAATCCCCATCTATGAATTGGCATCATTATTTTGCTCTCCTCCCCACTGATAGCTGATGTGTGGTGAGCGTTCTGGCGCACTATGGCTGCCATCGCATCATCCAGGTGGATGCAGCACATTGGTGGTGGTGGAGGGGAGTCCCCATTACCTGTAAAGCCCTTTGAGTGGAGTGTCCAGAAAAGCACTATATACAGTACTGTAAGTGTA